ATAACACCATGGCTTTACTTCTAATACTTCATTTTTATACTTTTCTGCTGGGTGGTTAAGACCAAGGTAAAGCAGGACCTATGCAACAGGAGTTGTAGCTTTTGGGTCTGATAAGGTCAGTGAAATCCCCTCAGGATTTATCCTGAGACCCTGTATCTCAGACTGTAGAACCTTTGTCAGTGCAGCCGTGTGGATGAGTCACGGCCATTGCAGAACAAAGCACCAGTGCTCTCCGATGGACCAGTCAGGGCTGTGGTGGTCCAGGCTGGCACAAAGGGGAAGCCTTTTGCAGACTCCCACAGCTCCCTCTGGAGGACAACCTGGTGATAACCATGCACACTGCACATGGTTTGCAGGACCCACACACCGCCAGGAGCACAGCAAGTGCCACCCAGCAGCGCTAGGCATTTCTCACTCAGTGCCTTCGGCAAGCTGTAATGCGCACATCTGGTACAACAGGTTGCAGAGCAGGCGCGCAAGGTGCTTCTGAGGGGCTGATAGGGAAATCTCGGCAGCATGATGTCTTGTCTGTCTCTTTGGGGATACCCCAAGAAGTGTGCCCTGATAGAAGATGGGTCACCTGAAAGAGGCTGGAGATAGGAGGGAGAGGTGGAAGCTGCCACCCACTTAAGACCCTCGTTGGGTGACAGCCACGCCCTTTGGAGTCAGCACAGACTCATGCAGGGAGGAGGCCTTGGCAGTGTCAGGATGCAAATAATGCACCTCCAAAAAACCAGCACCCCCCAAAAAAAGGCTTGAAAAAAAGGGCAATTAGATGTGTCTGTAAGAGAGTCCAGAGCTCTCTAAGGGCTTGAGGAGGCCAGGTGTTCAAAATATGAGGTATAATTCAGGAGGCTGAGGCAGAAAGGTCGCTGCGAGTTCAAGGCCAGCCTGGGTTGCAAAGTGCATCCAGGGCCTGCCTAAACAACACAGCAAGGAGCTGGCAACATAGCTCGGCAGACTAAGCACCTGCTTAGGCAAGCACAGGGACCAGGGTTCAATCACCGGTTCTGCATGCTGCACTGGCCCTGCCCCCAGGTGCACTGAGCTAGCTACCAAGACCAGGCGTGGTGGCACATGCCTGTATTCCCAGCACTGGGTAGGCTGAGAACAGGAGGATCACTATGAGTCTGAGCTGGTAGTGAGACCCTGTACCAAATGCATAAATTTTTTTAAAGGTCTATGGCTTATCAATACAGCAAGACCCCATCTCTACAAACAGAAACAAAAAAGTGCAAGGTGTGATTGAAAGCCACAGCGAGTATGTAAAGAAAGTTTATTACAGTGCCATGAGCCCCCGAGAACCCTCCCACAGCTCTGCACATGCTCACATCAGTGTTCTCACCGCTCTGCTGCAGTCCTGGTCCTCTTCCCTGAGGGTCTTCATGAGGTCTGACCAAAAATACAGCAACTGCTACTTCTGGGCACATCCAGCAGCGAGGCCGCTGGTCCTCGCCCACCTGAGAGGGCTGGCATGTGTGAGTCAGAATGACCATGATGGTCAACATTTGGAATTGTTTGGGGACATGGAGGTAACTGTGACAGAGCAACTAAAGACACCTGGGAAAGGACCCCAGAGGTGGCCCAAAAGCAGTGAGCACAGTCGCACACACATGCTCGCAGGAAGGGTTCTGAGCGAGATTCGTGGCCTCTGCCTTTCACTGAAACATTTTTAGTTCACACATTTAATATGTTTTTATCACACTGCATATGTCAACAGGGCCCTGTCCCTTTCTGCTGCCTGATGTGCTTTTGTTCAGAAAACCATAGCCATCTCCCAAGCGATAGTCACAGCGTCAGCAAGTCCTGGTGGGAAATCATGTCAACCTGCACGTCTGTGATGTGTGGCAACGCCCTGCTACGTGCTCCCTGTGCCCCGGGAGCTGCGGGCTCTGTCTGCCCAGCTGCAGGCTGTGGGCTGCATCCCGCTTTGCAGAGGAGGACGCTCCACCTCCCCTACCCAGCCCCCGGAGGTGCCTGTGACTCCCGGTGGTCGCCGGGCCTCGCCTGTGGTGTCTGTACAGAAGGGTGGAAATAAGCAGCACTCTAATGGTGTAGATGTTCTCTGCTACAACCCAACCCTGGCAGGGAAAAGCTGCGGTTCTTGGCCACCGCCTGGCTGAGGGGCAGTTGTCCCAGGCCTTCGCCCATGAGTGGGCAGCAGCTTCCCAATTGCAGTTGGTTCTATTTCGAGGCCATATTTTACTAGGCTGCTTTTGGAGTTGGGCTGTGTTTTCCTGGAGATCTCAGTTGCTTTTTCTCATGCCTGCTGACGAGTGCGGGCGCAGCTGTCCTGCACGTGGCCTCCTGGTCACTCGCCTGGCCGCCTGCCCGCCCTCTGCCTGAGTGCTGTGGTCAGAAGGGCGCCCTCTTTCTATTTCCTGGCCTCCACCTAGAGCGTACCTTAGGAACTTCCTTTTTCAGAAGACAGACTTTCTGAGAGTGAATGCCTGAGAATATGTATTTTGCTTTCCTGGGAGGGTAGTTTAGCAGAATTCTTGGTCCTACCGCTTCTTCTCTGGCTTGGAAAGCTCAGGCACTGCTGTAGGCCAGCACTCACTGGTTAAGAATTTTATTCTCTGTATTATTCACTTTAAAATTACTATGTTTTCCTGCGGGGAATCCCCAAGGATTCCTTATCTTGGAGGATCAGGACTTTTATGAAGAACAATCTAGGGGGGGTTGTCTGTTTATTTTGCTTTGTGTTTTGTTTATGCTGCTTGGCAATTAGCTGACCTTTTGACTAAAATGTGTTTACCTTTCTTATTTGGGGAAATTGTCCTCTAGCATGTCTTAGATTTGATTTTTCTGCACATCTATGTTCTGTTTCCCCAATTTTGTAATCTTATTAAACGCTGAACACCTGAAGTGATTCTACCTGTCTGTCTGCTTTCCACCAGTTATCTTGTTTTTTTGTTTCTCACTGTATATTCTGGAAATTTTATATTATGTCTTGATTTTAACTTTTAAAGCTGTTAAAAGTTGAACAACCTACTTTCTGTTGTTTCTTGTTCTCTGCAACTTCTGGGTCACGTCGCCAGCCTGCTGAACGGATCCAGGGCCTTCTCGAACACTGTGGTATTAATTAGGGCGTAAGTTATTCCAGTGCAATGATTGTACTTGTCTTCTGTATTATTGTTGGCTTCTAGTGACCTTCACTGCTCCTGATGTTGGTTGTTTTAAGTGTCTGGTGATCCTTGCTGTCTGTGTTTTTAGAGAAACTACTTAATTAATAAAGATGGCCAGCATGGGCCTTCTCTGCTAATGAATAGTTCTACTAATTTCTCTTCCGCAACAGGCTTGGGGCAAGGCCTTGAGCAAGTGCCCCAGATTTGTGAGCTGGGCAGGTAGCTACAGACTTGGCAAGACGTGTGAGCAGATTCACAGCGCTCCCAGTGCCAGCCACGCCCTGGCTGCAAGACATCAGCCGAGGTCCTAGCCTTCCCCCGTAGGAGGCCCAATCTCAGCAGAAAGCTGCCACTTTGGCCTGACTGGTCAACCTTAGATGGGCGACGGCCCAGTTGCTTGAGAACATGCAGGGAAAAGCCGATGGCCCACTGCAGTCTACACAGTGACTGTTACCTTTTGTGTGTGTGTGTGTGTGTGTGTGTGTGTGTGTGTGTGGAACCGGGGATTGAACTCAGGCCCTTGCGTCGTCAGGCAAGTACTTATTCTACTGAGCTATCTCTTCGGCCCCCACTGTCACCTTTTAGACACATGGTCACCGCCTGCTCTCCAAATCAGCAGCCCTCAGAACTGGACCCTCAGACTAAAGTCTTGATCTCTTGGTCTTGAAAATGGGCCTTTTTTGCTCTTTATGCTGCCATCTGCCTTCAGGTTTGCAGAAACCTGACAAAAGCTCTGAGCCTTCATCTCGGAGGCTGCTTCCTCTCTGTAGCTCGAGTGTAGTGGGCTGGGAGGGAAAAGAACTTGGCTGGTACCTGTTTCTCTGCGAATCTAAGCACCTTTATTCACTTTACTGTTCTGGATTTTCTAAAATGAGCAAGATAAAAAAGGACACAAGCTGTCCTTCAAGGACAAGGGCCTTAAAAATACATCTTTACCAGGCAGGAAGGGAAGAATGCAGTTGGTGCGGGCAGCCGTCCTTGAGCGCAGAGCAGGGAGCCTCTTCCCTGTGGTGCTTTGCGCTGGTGGGGGAAGGCTGGAAGCTTTTCTCTCTTACTTGTGCTTTTTATTTTCCCAAGCTGGACTAAAAATGTTAACTCAGAAAGAGAGTCAAGCATAAAGCCTGCTGCTAAGTAGCTGTATCAGCTAACTTTTCTGCTTAACAAACCCCCCACAGCCTGGTGGCCTAGAACGGTACGTGTTCACCTGCCTGCTGTTGGCTGGACTCAGGTGGAGAGGCAGATGGCCAAGAGTCTTTCCCACCCAGGAGGACAGCTGGGGCTCATTCACTCACGTGTGTCAGGGTGCAGGATTCCAGGAGCAGCATGCAAGGGGCAGAGGCTCGGGACTTGCCTCATGTCCACCACTCTATGTCAGGTCACAAGCCAGTGCAGATTCGGGGGGGCTGAGAAGTGAACTCACATCTGAATGGAAGATCTGCAGAGTACTGCATTACCTCTGCAGCTCACCATTTGTCTCAGTTACTCTTCTCTCGTTGCTAGGACAAAATACCCGATGCCCAAAATGAGGGAAGGAAAGGTTTATTTAGCTCACAGTTTGCAGGGGTTTCAGTCCATACTCAGCTGGCTCCAAGGCAGATGGCACATGGCAGAGAGCAGCAGTTCATGGAGGCAGAAAACAGCAAAGAGTAAAGGGAGAAGCAGCGGCTGCCGCACCTAGCAAGCCTCTCTCCTCCCTTATGTTGTGTTCGGTCTGTCCACCCAGTGCAGGTGTAGCACTTACACCCATAATCCCAGCCTTGGATCATGAATTGATCACAAATTCTAGAAGCTGGCCCAATGACTGCATGAGGCTTTGGGGGACACCCAGACACAAACCATAACACCATTAAACAACTCTTCCTGTCTTCACAGGCTTCTGAGGACGCAGTCCCTGGAATGGTTCTACAGTAATGTGAAGAGCCGCTTCAAGCGCTTCGGCAGTGCCAAGGTCCTCAAGAACCTGTACCGGAAGCACCGGCTGGAGTCTGGCGCGTGCTTTGACATCCTAGGTACCCTCGGCCTCGGATCTGGGGTCTTTGGTGGCTTTCAGGGTGGAGAAAGGCTGGGTATGGAAGCCTGGAAGCTGGGCGCGCTCGCTGGGGACGGGAGTTTGTGTCAGTGAGTTTGGCACTCGCTGGCCTCCGGCACTCCCGCTGGCTCGCACTGATGTGTCAGGAACCAGGAAGACCAAAATGTTCCAGCTAAAGAAATGAAAGACTTATCTCTGTGCCCAGTGAGGAAGACTGGGCATCATGGGGACTGGTGAGGAGGGGCCCGGCCTGCGCTGGAGTGCACCTCCTCCCCGCCTTGCTGCTCGGAAGTCCGTCTGCCCAGGCCCCAGCCCCGTGTGACGGGAAGAGGAAGCGGCTTCAGTGCTGGTGGACACAGGGCCTTCGCCCCGAAGATGGCCTGGTCTCCACATAGGGCGTGGCCTGCAGTCCCTCCCGCCCGGCCGGCCGGAGGAAGCAGCCGTCAGAAGAGGGGCCAGGCCTTGTTAGGCTGCCAGCTCTCCTGGACGGCAGAGCAAGCTAGGACCCCTGGCCAAGCGTAACAGAGAGAACGCCGCCCATCGCACTGGGAGCTCCGCACCGTGTTCCTTTTGGTGTCTTCCCAGTAAGGTCTTCGTGTCTGAGCTGGACATGCGCCAGCTGCTCAGGGAGCAGGAAAGTAAGACCCGAGCAATAAACTCGAAGACTCCCAGCTCTTGGGCACCTCGCCGCTCCAGCTCAGGCAGTCGGGACGGGGAGACCCGCTCCCTGCAATGGCCGTGCTGGCAGCTTCTACGCACGATTTCTATCTCTCCTTGTGGGTCTTTCTAAAGATTTTTTCTCTGGAAATGGAGACCAAAAAAGGAAACAAACTTAAAGATATGCTGTTAACAGCAATTTTTTTTTTTACCCAAAAAGAGATCTCAAAGATCTCAAGAAGATCCAGGAATGAGCCAGTTCGCCTGTCATCGCACCCACCCGCCCTCCTGTGCCCTGGGTCTGCTTCACCCACCCCTCTGCATTGCCAAGTGTAAATACAGAACTTCTTCACCACTGAATGCAAACCAGGGACAGCAGGTGGTGTGGAGAACCTTACAGCGTGGAGCTCAGTTCTGACCTCCCGTTTCTCTCACAGCCCTGTGTGGCTGAGGTGGCCACGGCCCGAGCACTCTGCAGGGCTGTGAAATACTTGTTGCTGACTTAGAAGGACAGTGTGTGCTGGGGGCACTGGCGAGGAGGGGCAGTCTGGGCACTGCTCCTTTCCTGTCTCCTCAGAGCCAGTGCTGCCTGCTGGGCATCATAGCCAGCCTCTCCCTCCCACACCATGGTATGCAGGTGGTGGCCCCTTTATTTCTGTACTCCCAGAGCCTGGCCCAATACTTCGTGCATCCGTGTCCCCAGAACTAACTGGCACAATCCTAAAAGCATCTTGTGCAAGCTCAGACACCTCACGGAGGTATTAGAGTTGATTGCTACAGCAATTGGTGTCTCCACTTAAACCAAGATTTCCTTCAGCACACTCAGAGACGCAGACAGGGAACAGTTTGTGACGTAGCGCTCAAGCATGCCAGCTACACGGGCATGGTTCTACAACCAGTGGAACGAGGCCTGCAGCTGTGGGGAAGCCCAGGCATGCGCAAGTGTGGGCAAATCGGCCCATGTCTGCACAGCCTCCTGGAGAGGCACCAGAGCCTTGCTCGGCCACCCAGTCTCTAGGGGCGCTCTGCAACCCTGAATATGCATGAGAATCTCCCAGGAGCTCTGAGAAGACTCAAGACCCAGGCCATCTCCCACCAGCTACTTCTGAGTCTCTGGGGGTAGAGCCCTGCTGGCTGGGGCGTACCTATCTATCATCTATCATGTACCTACCTTTCATCCATCCCTCCTTCCCTTCATCCATCCATTTTCAAATTCTATGAAGTATTTAAAACCACAGCCAAGGCTGTGACCCTCAGCTGGACCTTCAAACAATCTGTTGAGTAAGTCCTGAATAAGATGTTTCCATCTTCAACTCTGCCTAGGGAAATTCTTTTCAGCACTTTGGTTGTCAGACTCTGTTCTGAGGAGTGGACTCCACTGTGCACATGTGTGGGGCCCCTTTGCCCATCTTCGGCATGACTGTGCGGTTTGCCTGCCACACACGTTCCACTGAAATTGCACATCACCCATGGAGTCTCACAGGCCGCTGGGCCGCGAGCACCTCGCCCCGCCTCCATCCCCTCAGCTGTCTCCAGCTGCAGCCTGGGTCAGGTGACCACGTCAGGCCTGAAGGAGACATTTGGTTGGGTGTATTGGCCTAAGATGTGTGCTGCTCTATTGGACCCCTACTGTGTGGCCCTTGGACTCAGAGTTGGGGTGCAAGGAGGGCAGCATCCACCATCTAAGTGCTGGCCTCCCCAGGAGATGGGGCAGGGTTTCCAGATCATGTCTGATGTCGACAAAAGGACTTGCTAAACATGTGACATCATTCTAAAATTGCAGCCATTACCAGTGTGCTGATTTGGAGACAATTGGATAAAAATGCATGATTTTATTGAGTATTACCTAAATGAGAAGGAAACAATCCTATTCTAGTTTACCCCTGCTCCGGACCTTTGGGTGACGTGGTTGTTGAGAGGCCTAGTGCGTCCCTCGCGTGGGGCTTGATGGACCGAGGTGACCGTGTGCGAATGCGGACAGCATCACAGCCTCAGTCCCTCAGTGTGTGGAACATGGAAGCCTGGGGTCCTGCGGCTGTCAGCAGGGCTGCCTAGGACGACTTGGCACTTCGGCCTTGGGAAGAGCCACTCCATGATGCTGGTGCCGCAAAAGGAAACAGGAGGGATGTGGTCCTGGGCCGTGTGGTCCTGTGCAGCCTGGGGTGGCTCCCCATGAGCCGGGCTTTCGCAGGCCACAGACCTGTCTTCTCATCCCCCTGGCCCTCCTCTCCACAGGGACACCTGCTGCATGCCCAGGCCCAGCTCCTCCCTGCTGGTGCTGCCCCCTCCCCTTCGAGGAGGCTTGGGTCACGCCTTCCCCACGCAGTGCTCACTTCCCCCTCCCACTACTTATAAACACTCTGTGGCTCAGTCTCCCACACATAGCCTCCCAGATCCTCCATCGCTTCTCTGCCTTATTCCCTGGCACAGGGAAACTCCGGAGCGTGGGACAAAGTGGCCATGCCACGGGGCACAGACCCAGCCAGGGCACCACTGTGAGCCTGCTGCTGGCTCCAGTGCTGTTGGGACAAAGCCCAAAACACCAGCGTGGCCACCAGGTCCGGGTCCCAGGTGGTGGCAGCCCAGGCACCCACTGTTGGTTCTGTGGTGGGGCTCCATGCCGCATCTGCTCGGCCCAGGGCTTCCCAACCCCGCCCTGACCAGCCCCACTCCAGGTCAGTCTTCTCCGGTGAGCACTTCCTGGGTCCTGTCACCCACCAAGCTCCTCCTCCTGACCAGCCACATCTCTGGAGACTGAGGACACCATCACCCCCATGAGATTCTCAAGTCTGTGGGTGGCCAGGCCGTCACAGAGAGGCACACAGTGACTTAGGCCTGCCAAACGCCCCAGATGCTTGCAAACGCCACGGGGCCGCCCAGAGCTGGGATGGCCCAGTGACCACGTTGAGGACATTTGCCCCTCGTGGAGCTGGAGCATCGCGGCTCTCCTCTGTCTCCCTGGTTCCTTCAAGCAGGTTCTTCAGCCAGTAGCCAGTTTGGGTATTTGGTTTTGGTTTGGAGCCACACACTGTGTCCTTGCTCCCAAGCACTGCAACGCAGTGACTCAGAAGATCCTCGGCAGGCGCTCCCCCCTCCCCCGGGAGCTGTCCGCTGAATCAAAGCAGGAACAGAGCCCCGGGAATCCACCCTCAGAAGCCCTGGCCCAGGTGACAGTGAGGCCCGGGCAGTTCCTCCTGGCTGTGGCTGCCACCGGCTCTTCTCTGCAGGAGAGAACAGGGTGTGGAATGAGACAAATGGCCAGTCACGCAGCAGGAGGGGACGAGTGGCCCAGAAGCCAGGCACACAGCCACCCAGCTAGACCAGCGCTCCCTGGGAGGCCGGCCTCTAGGAGGACGTCCCTCCAGGTTGCCTTGCAGAGGCAGGGAGAGCAAGGGACGCTCTGTGCCAAGCCCCGCAGCACCCACACCCCAGCAACCGTGCCTGGCCTGGCCCTGGCTCCCAGCATGAGGGAAATGGTGCAGAACCCTGCAGAAGGACTGGAGGAAGTTGGGGTGACAGCAACACTGCAACAGAAGTCAGTGCGAGAAGAAAAATGATGGCCAAGCCTGGTGTGCCCTTGTGGGGCTCAGGGGGCCAAAGCCTGTCTGGACCTGGTGCCTGGTTGGGCTGCTCAGAGGGGCTTGGGCACTGCAGGGCACACCTGAAGCCCTTGGTAACTTCTCTCTCCTCTCCCCTCTCTCCTCTCCCCTGTCCCCTGTCCCCTCTCTCCTCTCTCTCCCCTCCCTATGCTCTCTCCTCCCCTACCCTGCTCTCTCCTCTCTCCCTCCTTCTTCTCTCCCTCTTCCCTCTCTCCCCCCTCCCCTCTCCTCTCCTCCTCCTCCTTCTTCCTCCTCCCTCTCTCCCCTCCCCCTCCCCTCTCCTCTCCTCCTCCTCCTTCCTCCTCTCTCCCTCTCTCCTCTCCCCTCTCTCCTCTCTTTCTCCCCTCCCTATGCTCTCTCCTCCCCTCCCCTGCTCTCTCCTCTCTCCCTCTTTCCTCCTCTCTCCCTCCTCCCTCTCTCCACCCCCTCCTCTCCTCCTCCTCCTTCTTCCTCCTCTCTCTCCCTCCTCCATCTCTCCCTCCTCTATCTCTCCTCTCCCCTCTCCCCTCTCTCCCCTCCTTTCTCCTCTCTTTTCCTTCCTCTCCCTCCTCCCCTCCTTCTGTTCCCTCCCCTCCCCCCTCCCCTTTCCCCTTTCCCCTCTCCCCTCTCTCCTCTCCCCTCTGTCATCTCTCCCCCTCTCTCTCCTGTTCTCCACCCCCATCCCCAGGAGGAGGCTTTATTGAGCCCCACCTGGAGAATGAAGGTAGCATCTCGGGCAGTGACTCTACTTTTTACCGGCAGTCAGAAGGTAAGGTACCTGGGATTCAGGCCCGGATGTGGGCAACAGGGACAGCCTGTCCTCTACCCAGATGCAGCTGCTCCTGCTGTGCGTGACTTCCACATGCACATGGGTGTGTGCCTAGTAGGAGTGAGCTCCCCACTAGCCTGAGCTCATAGGGTCTGCGGGGCCCCCATGGGCCTGGGAGAGAGGAGCAAGCCCCCAGCTTCGCCCCCAGGAAGAGTGGATCCTGCACCTCAGGGGCCAAAGCTCCTCCCTGCCTGAGCTCCAGAGCCACTACCTGTGGGTGAGCTAAGAGGTGGCCACTTCCTCCTGCCTGGTGCCAGCTGCAGAACATGATAAACTGTTCACTACCAGCGCAGTGGAGTGCTTGGAACCCACATCAGCTCTGGTCATTCCACTGCTGTAGTCAGATATCTAGGTCTTTGGAGATAGCTCAGAGCTCAAATCTGAGCTCTCTTGGGGTCTCACTGTGGCCCTGGGCTAGTTCTGTGCCTCGAATCCACCACTGCTCGATGGCTGAGGGCCAAGAAGCCCTGGGCTGGAGCGGCCTGTGGCCACACCTGGTACCACTGGCCATGTTGCTGATGGCGTTTTATGGTCCCATGGCGTCGTCTTGGATTGTGTTGGTGCCGAGTCAGGGCGCTGTGCAGTGTGCTCGTGCCCCAGGTACTCATGGTGCGGGGTGCGCTCACAGCACGGCCTAGGCTTTGCTGGGGGGTGGGGAAGGGCCGTCATTTCCTCCCGTCCTGGAAACTCCCAGTACTGCAGAGGACTGGAGGCGGGGTGGAGGGAGCAGAAGAGGCAGGGGGCATCACAGATGCGGTGTCTGGACTCGAGGGGTCCAGGTGGGAGAGGGGCTCTGCAGGACAGAGGGCCGCAGGCCGCCGTCCCACCCCATCACGGTTAGAAAGCTCCCTGCATGCTGTCTCCTGCCTAGGGCACAGCATGGTGGACACTTTGGCCGTGGCCCTGCGTGTGGCAGAGGAAGCCATCGAGGAAGCCATCTCCAAGGCAGAAGCCCACGGGGACAGTCTGGTAGGTCCTTGGGGGGGGGGGTAGCAGGCAGCTGAGAGAGCAGGTCTTAGCAGCTGTTCCTAGGGCAGGGTGCCTCCTAGGCTGGCCAGGGTCCCCGGGGCAGCATTCATGGTGTCCCCTCCACCCTCTCACCCACAGGACAAGCAGAATGAGGCCACGTACCTGCGGGACCACCGAGAGGAGCTCACTGAGGAGCTGGCTGCCACAATCCTGCAGAAGGTAGGGGTGCAGGCCAGAGCCAGGGCAGCTGAGAGCGGTGCCCGTGGCAGGAACTAGCAAAGGCCAGAGGAGGACTGATTCTCTCATGGGCCCAGCGTTCTTTGGGGGTTGGTGGGCAGAGTATCATGGCATGCAGATGGCCTGGCAGGGGATACTTGGTAAACAGAAGCAGTATCTGCTTTGGGGAGGATTAGAAACCTCCCCAAAGGATTAGAAACCCCAAGTTTTCCTGGGTTCCTCATCTGAAGACTTGGCCAACCAGGGAGGAAAATATCGAGGAAAAAAATCCCAGAAAGTTCCTGAAGCAAAACCTGAGTTTGCCATGTGCTGAGCCTCAGCTGGGTGCACATGGGTGAGCAGGCAGAGACCCACCTACCTCTGCCTCCGCGTGGTCCTCTGTCCCTCTGCTTTCCCAAATCTCACCACACACCACCTGTGCTGGCCAGCTCTGTGCTGAATTGCAGACTTATGTGTCGCACTTCTCTGAGGGTCACAGGGATACATGCGGTGCCTCGCCTGGTGTTAGGATCAGAGGTGCAGGTCGGAGTTGAGACACCCATGAAGGGTGTGGGCTGCTTGTGCCACCTGGGTGAGGCAGTGTGCACTGGAGGAGCTGCAGGGCCCCACCTCGGTGCGACCTGAGGCTGTGGTCCCCCGGGACCGAGCTCCGCTGGAAGCACCAGAGCTGTCCCTGCTCTGCTGCATGCCCCGGAGCCTCGCACTCACCATGTTGCCTCCTGCCCCAGATCATAAAGAAACAGAAGAGCAGGAACGAGCGGCCCACGGAGGAAGACCTCGAGTGGCCACAGCCACAAGACCACAGGCTGAAGACAAAGGATGAGGGCAGCACTGCACATCTGGGAGGCCACCGCACACCAGCTGCACTCTGGGTAAGTCCTGGAGTGGTGCAGAAATGGGCCTCTTGCAGATGGGGACAAGGGACTGTGAGGGCAGGAGTGGGGCACAGTGGGTGCAGCGGAGCAGGCAGCTGCTCGCCTGCCCTCAGCCCATGCTGTGTCCTGTTCTGCAGAAGCCCATGTTACCTTCTTCTCCTGCAGAAGATGGTGAGGACAGCCTCCCAGGGCCCAGGTTAGCAGAAGCAGGACGAGACCTTGTTGTATTAATCAGGAGCCGAGCGGAACCCCAGGCCTATGTTCACCACAGATGGCTTTGTGGCCCCTGAGCGTGGATGGCAGAATGGTGGTCACTACCCCTCAGCCTCCAGGCTTGCACAGATGGTCAGGACAGGGCCACCCCAATACAGGACTGGCCTGAGTCAGTGCTCCAGTGCCTTAGGAGCCAGGGCCACAGCACTGTTCCCTCATGGAAACCCTGGATCCACAGGCAGGCAGGATCGTGTCTCCCAGCCCTCAGGTCAGGCACGGCACCCTTAGAGAGACAGCAGGGGTGCTGGGAAGCACACAGGGACCCCTACTGTCTCGGTTACTTTTCTCTTTTTGCTGGGACAAAATACCTGACACCAAAAATGAAGGAAGAAAAGGTTTATTTAGCTCACAATTAATGGAGATTTCAGTCCATACTCAGCTGGCTCCAAGGCAGAGTGGCATATGGCAGAGGGCAGCCGTTCATGGTGGCAGAAAGCAGCAAAGAGCAAAGGGAGAGGCAGTAGCTAGCAAACCGCTTTCTCATTCTTACATTTGTATGCAGAGTCTCTGTCCCAGGGCAGGGGAAGCACTCACACTCATAATCCCAGCATTGGATCAAGAATTAACCACAGTCTCTAGACGTCTGCCCCATGATTGCACGAGGCTATAGTGGACAACTAGACAACTACAGTGCCCACCCTGCACGTGCTGTCCTCACCCAGCATAGTCCCAGTGGCTGCTCAGAAATTCCACACGGGACCCAGCCACTCTGCCTGTTCTTGGCCCATGCTGCCTCCCGTTCCGCAGCTGCTGCACACTCAGAATCCTGATTCAGGCTGCTCCCTGCTCTCCAGACCTCTGACACAGCCCTCTAGGGGCGCGGCCAGGGGCCAGGGGCCAGGGGGGCTGCGGTCCTTCGGGGCCTAGGCCAGCAGCAGCTCCTACATGGACTTCTGCACGGGGCCAGGTGCAGGTTCCCTAGACACTGTTCTTCCACCTGGTACTGCGTGGCCCAGGCCACTGCCACCTCCACATGCCCCATGTGCTGCATCTCATCCTGCGTGCTGCAATCCTCTTCCTACTCCACCCGTGGGTCAGGTGGGGCCCATGCAGCTGCGGACGGCAGTTGCAATGCCATGGGACAAAGCACAGAACCCAGGCCGCAGGCAAGTATGCAAGCTACACCCAGACTCACCGTGTGTTCACAGGGCCTCTCAGCCTGCGGGAAGACGGTGTACCCTGGGGCCTGAGATACCTGGGGTGAAGTCTGCTCTCTGCCAGGCTTCTGGTCCTTCAACAGGAAGAAGCAAAGCTTAGCCCGGTTGCTTCCTACAGAGCCCACAGTGAGAGGGGAAGCTGGCACTGACCAGCCCGGCCCCCAACATCAGTGCCTCGGGGCACAGGGACCCCAGGGCCATTGTGTGGGGTGTCACAGTGACACTGCCTTGCCAGCCGCCTCAGCCAATGCCGCATCTTCCATGGACCCCATGTGAGCAAGGAGGGAAGTAAAGCAGGGGTTGTGCAGAGAGGAGGGAGCACAGAGGGCGCGATCCAAGGGAGTAAAGGACACTGGCATCCTGTCTTCAGGCCCAAGAGCTGTGCCACTGCTGGCTGGCGGTTGGCTGTTGGTGCCCTCTGCTGGGCTATGTGCCCACAGCAGGGAACTGTGGCCAAGCCAGGGAAGGCCAGTCAGAACACAGGGTCTCAGGCTGCCTCAGGGGTCACCAGGGCACTGTTTTCACACAGCGCGGCTTCCCTGCCTTGGGTCAGAGCAGACCCACTGCCCCATCCCCTGAGGGCCCAGCTTCCTGTTGGCCCCAAGAGGGGTTGGGTTTTGCCCACCTTTGAGGGACTGGGAGGATTTCTGTCCCATTAACAGGGACCCCACCACCCCACCAACACACACATCCCACATGAGGTAGAGTTGGAACTGCAAGGGAAAATCGATTGCCGCAAGAAACTCCTAGGTAATTCAGGAGCTGGAGGAGAGCCAGTTTCTGTGTGGATATGATGCCACATGCCAGCCACAAGCCCCCAGGCTGCACTGCCCTTTGTGCTCGGCCTTGTGGACCCTGCCCAGCGCGCTGGAGTCTACAGGAGCTGACACGTGCCGTGGCCACACCCCAGCCTGGCCTGGCCGGGTGGAGGCTCATGTGTGGCCACCCTGCACGGGGCTGCAGCAGGGTGCACCCTGGTTCCCCATGATCTCGAGGCCTGGAAACCCCAGCCCTGAGCACTGTGCTCTGATGACACCCACGACCCACAGAGGGCCTGGGAGTTAGGGGTAGTGCCCTGGCCCAGTTTGCAGGAACTGCTCCTCCTCAGCTGCCTTCAGAGCATCCCGGAAGGGAAGAATGTTCTGCTCCAGAACTCAGCCCATGCTGGCCTGGCTCCAAGCACAGCCATGGTCTCTGGGCCAGCATGTGGCTCCCACTCCCGATTACACACAGAAGCTGAAACCATCTCCTGCTGTCTCCAAGCCCCACCTGCACCCCAGCAGCGGCCCTCTAGGGGCTCCACAGTCTAGTGGTGGTGCCAGGTGCTTGCAGAGGAGGATGGTGATGGCAGAGCCATGGAGGAAGCAAGGGCCCCAGGCCAGGGTGGAAAGCACAGGTGGCAGGAGTCCCTCAGGATAGTGTTCTGGAAATAGACATGGTGCAGAGAGTGCTTATCACCTCCGGGCCCAACTGACTGACTGGTGGCCAGGCCTCGAGAGGCAGGAGAGTGCTGTCCTTGAGGGTGCCCCCCAGTGGATCCCCCAGCTGGCTCCTTCCGGTGCTCCCTAGCCTGCATCAGGAAAGCCAGCCGGCTGCCCTAGTCCAAGGTCCCAGGCCCTGTGCCTGGCTCTGATGTGCCTGGCTCTGAGCCCCGTCTGCCTCGCCTCTTAGGCTGGTTACGAATCCATGCACAGCGGGCAAAGCTCTGCCTGAACTCCAGACGAAGCACGTCCGCCGCTGGGTGCTGCTGTCTGTCCCTGTCATGCCGTTTCTCAGGCTACCTTCACCATGCCTTTACTGGCTGCAGTGCCAGGTCAAGGACCTAGAGCTGTCAAGGGAGGGCAATTGTGGCCAAAGTGTCCGGAAGGGACACCAAGCCCACAGCAGCTGGCTCCTGTGCACATGTGCACAGCCTGTGCCCTGTGCCCAGCCAGCCCTCCCCTTCTGAGCACCCACGGTGGCAGGAGGGAACACATTTGTCCTAGGGCAGAGGAGAGCGGGCTGCTGGTGACCAGAGCCCGCGGGAGGCAGCAAGGAAGCCTAGGCTGGCGGCTTTTCCTTGAGTGCTTGAGGGAAGCAACTCCTATTATTGTTGAAAGAACCGACAATAAGATACAGTTCTGTCACTAGCTGAAAAAGGCAAAAATGTATTTTACATCGGATAAAGTTGTGTGCGTGTGTGTGTGTGTGTGTGTGTGTGACACTGAGTTCCCTGAAGTGTTTCCCGCATCAGAACCCTGGATCTGCCGCCACTTCTCCTTAACTGAGGTGCTTCCTTTACCCTCTCTGACCAGGCAGTAAACCAGAGGCCTTGTGATCACTGGTGTGTGGGCTGACGATGCCTGTGCCCGCTCGTGCACTATCACAGGGCACTGCGGGGCATGCATCCGTGCACACTTGTGGTGCCTGCGCTACACACCGCTCCTCTCGGCGTGCGGCGGCTGCCCCACGCACCAGCTCATTTTCCCACTCTTCGCTGCTCTTCTCCCCACAGAGGTCCCAGTCTGCGTTCTCGTTCCCCGGAGGAGACACCAAGAAGACCACTCCCCTAGAGGCAGCGACGAGGCAGAGTCCAGCAGAGCCGGATGCCCTGCCCAGCTGGAGGAGCGTGGGTGGGCTGGACCTAGCAAGTAGGTTGTGCCCTGCGGCCTCGGGGTGGCGGCGTGGGCGGAGTGCAGGTAGCTGGACCTGGAGACCTCATAGTCGTGGCAGGGCAGAGGCTCGGGGTGGGCTGGGGTCCTCCGTTAGTTGGGGGTGGGGCCTCCTCTTAGAATCACTCCACGGCCCACCCTGGCTCCCAGATCCACACAGGCCAGGAGGAAGTGTCCGACCCAGCCAGGCCCCTAAACCAACCGCAGGACCCGCGGCTCCCCCCGCACGAGATCCCGGCACAGCCTGGCTTTCAGGGTGCCCTTTCTGAAGCCTGGTGTGAGTCGAGGTGACACTGTGGCCGTTCCAGGTGAAGTGAGCGCTCAAGGGCTTCACAGGGCCCACGCCTTGTGCGCTGCCCCTCGCTGGGAAGGCGAGGCGTCTGCGCTGCACCGCTAGAGGCGGCCAGCAGAGGGAGGGAGAGAGCCAGCTTGCTTCTCCCGGTTCCCCAGGCCTCTGTCTGAGACCAGAGGTGATCGCAGGACAGGGCACTGTCCAGGCAGGATGTCCCTGCACGGGCCGGCCCTGTCCTCACCCGGTGCGCAGGGTCTACATCAGGAAGCCAGGCACACACGTGTGTCCTCAGGAGAGGAAACGTGAGCCGTCTCCTGCCACACAGCGTGCGGTGCAGACCCCTCTCCAGAACAAGGACGGCGGCAAGGCCTGCAAAGTGCGCAGTGCTCCTGTCTGCAGGGAAAGTCGTTTGAGCCAGCAGTCTGAGCGCCCGGACCGGGACATCCAGTATTCCTCACTGCAGCCCGAGGTTTCCCAGGAGGGACCACACCTCGCTGACCCTTTAGCACCTCGCTGACCCACTGTGGAGCCAGCGATTCTGGGACAACAATGTGTTCTTGCCATCTGTGGCCTGGCTTTTTGTTTTAAATGCATTTTCTAAACCTCCAGCTACACTTGTCATTCCCTGTCACATGGCACATCCATATTCATTCTTCATAGCCCCCCGCACTGTGAGGAGAAAGGGTTCTGAGAGGCCACCAGAGCCCCGAGGACCCCATAAACCACATCTGCCCTGTGCAGGGGCCACCAGCCTCCAAGATTCCTTCCTGTGGCATAGCGCTGCACCATGCCCTCCTTCGCTCCTCCCCAGTGCTGCTGAGCACCGTCACTACTGTGCTTGGCAGAGGAGGGCACAGGCGGCCAGTGAGGTCAGGTGACTTCTCCAGACCAAGGTTCAAACCCTGACAGTACCTCCAAGATTGGACACAGAGCAATGCATCAGAGGGTGTTACACAAATTTGCACATGGTTCACACCGGATTGTCCACAAGTCTCAGAATTTGCAAAAGGACTTTCCTCCTTGTACTGAGGATGGAAGCCAAGGCCCTGGCATGAAGCCGTGTTGCCAGGCCCTTTTATGTCTTCACTTTGAGGCAGGGTCTCACTAGGTTGCTGAGCTGCCCAGGCTGGGCTCCAACTTGTACCTGCCTGCCTCAGCCTTAGAGTTCTGGGACTACAGTCATTCACCAGCACACCTGGCTAGGAATTTTGTTCTCACATTTTTGTGCATAAATTTCTGTAAAAGTAGGCACTAATATCAACTGCATATAAACATACACTTAATTCAGTAGCATCACATACACACAAAAGATTTTGCTCAAACATTCTTGCATATCCCAGGATAAAGATTTAAAATCAAAAGGCATGTAGGTAGAAATTTTCTGGTTTTCTGAGGAATGCTCAACCCTGCACCTCCCAAAGTATTCCAGCCCACCCAAGAGTCTTGAAGGAAGCAAGACATTTAGTAGGAAGCCTGCCATTTGCAGAGGTGTCTCACTCTCTTCTCCCTGGAGAAGTGCAGGACAGAGAGAGGCAAGGGGAGTCAAGTCCAGAGGTCAGCGGTGCCAGGCTGTCTGCTGGTCCAGGAGCAGGCTGCCCTGTGCGGACGGCTTCACACAGCAAGGTCACCTCCAGCCTCCAGGCGCTCCAGCAGTAACTGGGCTTCCTCAAAGGCATTTTCACTCTGTGACCCAGAAATGGCATCTGCTGGATATGCAGCTTTGCTGCTGTGCTGGGGAAATGGGTCAGAGCTCTGCACTGTCTCCAGGGCTCGCCAAGTGATGTGTGCACCACAAAGCCAGCATCTGCTGAGAAGTGGCAAGGACAGCTGGCCTAAGAGCTCCCCTGGATGAAGGCTTCGGGTCATCCCAGGGACCCAGAGACGCCCTGGGCTGCCCTGGCTGTGTCAGAGCCACGAATGCTTTTGCAAGGAAGAATGGGGTGCTGCTGAATTAGGAGGGGATTCTCCAGCTTCCGCAGGGGAGTGGGCCTGAGGCCACGGCACGTGGTCCTGACAGGCAGGAGAGAGGAGCCGAAGTGGGCAGGACCTCACCTGGCTGCCCTGGGAGTGGGGCGCAAGGACCATGCTTCCACCGTGTTGGGCCTGGGGGCCAGGGCCAGGAGTCCTGGCTTGGTCTGTGGCCCCAGAGAATGCAGTGGGTGGGACAGGGCTTGTCTGGGCCCCTTGAGGCAGTGTGCACTCGTCCTTTGTGCCCAGGCTGGATGAGAGGATCAGGCCCACAAGACCCGTGCCCCAGGGCCTTGCAGTCAGGTCCAGGTGGTGCCATGACGTGTGGCGCTCACTTCTGCAGCAGAGACCCAGGCGTGTCCCTGATGGTGGCCTCCAGGGCAGGTTCAGAAGCTCCTGGAGCCAGGCAACAGGCTCTGTGCCTCCTGAGCTGAGGACCCTTCCTTCCCTCCTTCTGGAGTGCCCTTCCAGGTGTTGTCTTTGTTTCTTAGGGCCTTTGCTTCCCATAGAAGAGGGGTGTGACATGGGACCTGTGGCCTTGCAAGGTACTGGGTGTGAGCCAGAAGTCCCAAGGAGCTCCAGGAGCCAAGTCGGAGCCTCCGTCTGCCAGGCCTAGGCCCCAGAACAAGCCTCTGGTGGCTGGGTCACTCTAGCTGCCCAGAACAAGCCTCTGGTGGCTGGGTCACTCTAGCTGCTGCCCAGGCTGGGATGCCTGGGACCCTTGGGAAGGAGCTGAGCTGCCTGAGCACAGGCTCTTGCTTAGAGGCGGCAAGGGCTATGCAGGAAGGATGAAGGCCCATGAATGCTAGATGGTGGTGACAACTGGCTGGCCACTGCCCTAGACTCAAGATTCAGAAGTGCAGCACCATTGCTCAGCACTGGACAGGGCCGGCCATGCCTGCATCCTATGGGCACGCATGGTGCACAGCCATTGTGACCAGTGCTAAAGGCTCATCCGGGACCTGGATATGTGGCAGAAGGCAAAGATGGCGGGGCCATGGGGCTGGCTCTGTGACATCATCTTCTGGTGATGGCCATGGTGCCCCCACCCCAATGGGCAACAGGTGGGGAGGGCTGGGCCATGTCCTACCCCAAGTACTGAGGAGTTGGGTGTGGACCTGCCCGGGTGCTCCAAGGTAGCCTCGCTGTGGATGCAGGAAGGGGCTGGTGACAGTGTCTGCTCCCCTGCATCACCCTCCAGCAACCCAGCGAGGCATGTGCTGCCCCTTCTCACTCAGAGGGGAAACTGAGGCTCAGGGGACCACACAGCCATGCAGTGGTGGGAAGGGGCTTTACCTGGGCCTTAGACATGGAGAGTTTTCTGTGACAGCCCTGCCTTAGCCTTGCCACTGAGCCACCCTGGGCACCGCAGTCAGCCAGAACCTGCAGGGTCACGGAGCAGCAGCAGCAGTCTAAAAGGAGGGGCTGGGTCTGCTGAGGGCACAAGAAGCTGTCTGGTGTAAACAGGCTGGGCTTGTCGCGTGTGATGTGGATGGCTGACCCAGAACAGAGTGGCCAGGGACCAAGGGTGCTGGCCTGGCCAGGCTGCTGTCTCCAGACCTTGGAGGGGGCCGGCTCGCAGCCATCTGTGTCCCCTCTGCTGCAGCTCTGAGGCTGGCAGAGCAAGGACAAGCTCAGGGCGACACTCGAGATGCCATCTGGGTCACTTCTCTCCTTACTGAGACACAGCGGAAGGATGAAGGGTTTACGCTGCTCATGGTGTGCAGCAGATTCAGTCTGCGTCCATGGGCTCTGCAGCAGACGGGACAGCAGAGGGGCACTGCAGGGAAGAAACTGTCCACTGCCGACAGGAAGAGGATGCAAAGCAAGGGGGGCTCAGCAGCCTCACCTGTGCTTTGTACTGTCTAAGCTATGGGACAGGTGGTACCCAAGCATCAGTGGACTGTTCAGTGATCAGCCCCCTGTGCCCCAGCACCTTGTTCCCAGCATCACTCCCTAAGTCCAGCCACCTCTGAAAAGCCCCACCTGTGACTGCACAGGCTTGGGGACATCCAGACACAGCTGTGACACAGGTTTGCTCCATCCTGGGGCAGTGGGTGGGAGGGAATCTAGGTAGCACAAGGTGAGACCCAGGCTCAGGATCCTGCCCCCATCCTGGAAACAGGGTTCAGGCAGGCTGGCATGACCTCCCCCATGTCCCAAGCTTTCCTCACCCATCCACCCACCCTGATGCCAGCCCCTGTGCCCATGGCTGCTGCCTTTGCCTGCTCCAGGCCCTGGCAGGAACTTCTAGTGCCCTCAGCAGAGCAGAGCACCTGTTGTCCCCAGCCCAGCACACAGGCCACCCCGGTACCCAGCTGCTGTGCAGTGCAGACCCCTTTGTACCACACCCACTCCAGGACGATCCTCCCACCCTCCCGTGTTTGCTGGGGCAGAGGCCACCAAGGTGCAGGATGAGAACTCACCTAAGCTCCCACCATGCCCTCCTTGTGGTCACATGACAAACCCATTGGGCCCTAGCCTTTTCCAGATGGGCAGGACCTAGACCTATGGAGTCTCTCACACGTGTCTCTGAGGCCTCAGGGGTCCTCAGGGAGAGCCCCAGGGTGGAAGAGAGGAGGGTGGGAGGTGATGGGAGACTAAGGACTCCAGAGATAGACATGGCCCAGAGGCAGATGGTCTGGGGGCGGTGGGGTGCCCTGCACCCTAGATGGGACTGAGGACTCTGGCGGCCCCACTCTCCTTGCCAACGGCCATCTGCTTCCACCTGCAGGTACAGCCACAGTTCTCCAGAGCCCTGACGGGAACTGGGTGGCCCTAAAAGACGGAGCGGTGCCCCCTGCACGCCTGCTGCCCCCACGGAAGAACGCCACGCTGCGGGCCCCGGAGGCACCATCCTCAGTGGCGTCTGCATACGAGGAGCTGGGCTCGGACAGTGAGGAGGACTTCAGCTGGAGTGTGGCCTTGAGCAAGCTGTGCCTGCAGCCCCAGGGCGATGCCTGCGGACCCCCAGGCCCCTCGCCTTCCCCGGGAGCCTCCCCTAACCCCGAGGCCATGGGCTCCGACTCCGAGACGTCCTCCGCTGGCTCTTCCCGGGATGTGAGACGCCGGGCCAAGCTCTCCTGGCTTCCCAGAAAGGGCCCGTGCAGCCCCACCACAGAAAGGCTGCACCTGCAGGAAGAGCTGGACGTCAACTTCAACCCGCAGGCTGCCAGTGGGGACACCTCAGACAGCAGCGAGCCCGAAGAGGCCCCCCACGCAGTGGACCGGCGGGCCGGGCGGTGGCACAGGACGCTCCTGGACCCCGAGGAGCAGTGCGCCAACACCTACGCCCCAGACCTGCGCATGCGCCAGGTGAGACGCGGCCTTCCCCGGGCACGTGTGACCGCCGCTCAAGTCTTGTCCCCGTCCCGGCCTTGCTGCTCAGCAGCCGGGTAGCCCTGTGGTGCATCTCCCTTGGAGCTGAGGTAGAGGCAGCAAGCAGTTCACAGCTGTGGCTCCGGCCGTGCCGCGTGTGAGCTCCAGGTTAAGGCTGTGAGGGGACAGGTGCAGCTCGCGGCCTCCTCTCTGGGAAGTGAGCTAACGTGCAGAGCAGAGGCCGGGACGCTCAGGTTGACAGCTTGGCGGAGGCCGCTGAGCGCACGCGTGAGTGGTCCTTGGCTCAGCTCAGGTCCCCGCAGCCTCCGCGGCTCTGCCCAGCTAGGTTCCTGCGAGCGTGGAGAGGGTGGAGACGGTCAGAGGTGCGAGCGGCCGGCCAGGAAGGCGCACACCGGGCACACCCGCGCTCAAATGCACACAACTCACACTCGCCCTCACACATCACACACATCGCACACATTTGCACTCACACTCATGCACTCATACGGTAATATGCTTGTACTCACACACATACTCGCACTCACACCCAAGACAGACTTGCATATTGACATTCACACACACTCATACTCACATGCTTACACACTCATACTCAAACACAAACTCACATTCACACCCACCCACGCTAACACATCACACAAGCACACACATGTGCTCTCAGACACGACTCCTGCATGCAGTCTCCATTAGCCCTGGCAGGGCCTCCCCTCAGGCGGGGCCTCCCCCCAGGCGCGGCCTCTGCCACCTCTGCCCTTCATGGCCCTGTGGTCTCCAGGGCCTGCTGTGCCTCCATGTGTCTGTGGCTGGGCTGTGAAGATGCCCGGGGCACAGAGCCGGATCACTGTCCCGCCAGCCTCAACCTGCTCACTCTCCATCCGGCGCACCCACTCCTCCCTGTGTCCTCGCCACACCCCAGCCCAGCCCACAGCTTGGGCAGACTCCCTCATCTGGTGCTTGGGGTTCACATGGGAGACCCGAAGGCCCAGGCTGGATGTGTGCGAGGAGGGCAGCCAGGCGGGCACAGTCCCCTCAGAGACGCTGGGGATGCGGGAGACACAGCTGGGAGTCTGTCCAGGACTCCGCTCACTGTTGCCCCTGGTGGGACTTCCTGCCCACCATGGTGCACAGGTAGAGGTGGACGCTGTCTTGGGGCTGGGGCTCCCCAGCCCTGGGCAGCTGACTGCAGACTCAGGCCTCCCTCCTGCTCGCCGAGGGACTTGTGGCCAGAATGAGGCTGGCTGAGTCCAGGCTCCCACCCCTATGCCAAGCTTAACGTCAGCCAGCCTGGGGTTGTTAGCATCCTAGGCTGGTCCAGCTGCCGGTTACGATTGTCCACACTGGTGACATTCATCCTGAGCCTTGGGGCCTCAGAACCATCTGGGTGACCCCCTCACCATCCATGCCCCCCATTTATTAGTGCCAGGAGGTATGCCCCGATGTTCTTGCTCAGGCTTCAGGAAGGAGAGGCGCAAGTATGGTGTGTGGCGAGGGTCGGGTCAGCGCATGGCGGAGTCAGCAGGGGACATTACAGGCGGCAGAGAGCAAGGGCCTGTAATGTCCTTGTACAGCGGTGCGAGGGCGTGTGGGCTGGAGGAGCCGGGAGTGCAGGCCCAGTGCAAGGCCACCAGTCCGAGCCACACCTTACCTGCCCCGCCTCCATGTGGTGGCGCCCTGCCCCTGCTGCCACCCCCCACCGAAACAGCGCTGGAGGACTTTGCAGGGTTCCATGTTGTCAGCGGCGCCCAGCTGATGTCATCCCGCCGAGCTCTGTGAGGATGTGCAAGGCTTTAACTGCAGCGTGGCCTCCTGCTCATGGCCCAGCCCACTGTACACTGCTGCCAGCCTGCAAAAAGCAGCAGCACTGTTGGCCATTGCAGTCCAGCCAGTTTTATCTAAGAAAAACACTGTAGTTAGTTAGCACTGTCATAAGTACTGCTGAGACTGAGCAATTTTTCCTCTATAAGACTATTGGCATCTTCTCTGTGAAAGCATATTTCTATTTTTCATCTGTTACTCTATGGGATTGCTTGTCTTTTTCTTAATGATTTTTAGGAATTAGTTTCATTTCCTAAATATATTATAAGCTTTACTTCTTTGATGGTTTCACATGAAATATTCTGTCACTCCCTTTTTCTTTTCTTGCTTTCTTCTTTTTCTCTCTCACTCTCGCTCTCCCCCTGCTCACTTTGCTCTCTCCCCCCACTCACTCACTCTGCCTCACCCCAGTTGCTTGCTCTCACTCTCTCCCCTCAATCTCTTGCTCTCGTTCTCTCAACCCATCTCTCGCTTACTCTCCCCATTCTCTCATTCTCACTCTCCCCGCACTCGCTCACTCTCACTCTCTCCTCCCTACTCTCTCACTGGCTCTCCTCCCTTACTGCCTCTTGCTCTCTCCCCATCACTCACTTTTGCTCTCTCCCCCCCACTTACTCACTCTTGCTCTCCCCCCACTCGCTCTCACTATCTCCCCAACTCACTCACTTTCTCTCCCCCCACTCATTCGCTCACGCTCTCCCCCACTCGTTCTCTTTTTTCTTTTTTAAAATTTTTAATAGTTTGCAAAATGAAAATAAATTATTTACAAACAAAAATGAATATAACAATAAAAACTGTCCAAAATAAAAATGAAGAAA